GGAGTTCAGCGGTGAGGGGGAGGTCTTGGGCGTCTGTGAGGAGTTTTAGATTCGGCTGTGGCATTTTTCTTTTCGGTTTTCGAAAGAGGGGGAGTTGGTTGGGTCGCCAAGGGGTACGAAGTGTGTTTTGGGAGTGGGTGTTTGTGCCTTTCAGCGTGCGAGAGACGTATTGTTTCCTGAGGGACTGGAAACGTGTGAGGATGGGGGTGTTTAAAAAGACTTCTCCGCTGGGGGAGCGATAGGGGAGGTATTGGCATCGTCTGAGGATACGTCTCTCGAGTGTGGTGAGTTTGTGGGACAGGTGTGTGGGAAGTACACCGTAGGGCATAGCTCTGTATTCGGCAACGGGTCGGATGAAGGAATTATAAGTATGGATAAGGGTATCTGGGTTACAGCGCCCTATTCGCCCGCACAAAGCTCCAAGGAGACTGGCTCGCTTTCGCATCTTATCAAGAGTGCGTTGGACGTCAGAGGACCAGTTAAGAGTACGAGAAAATCGTACCCCCAAATAGTCGACTTCGGTCTGTTGAGCTAGCCTGACTCCTAGGAAATTTACGTTTACGAGTTGGGGGTTCTGAGAGGTTCTTTTGGAATTTGGGTGTTTGAAGACGATAAATTGAGTTTTCTGTGGATTTAATGAGACCCTCCATCTGCTACACCAGTGAGAGTACCGGTTTAACAGATTTTGGGTTCGAATATTTAGTTGGTTAGAATTTTTGGCTACCGAAATTAGAGCTGTGTCGTCTGCGTATAGCAGACATTTGGATGTGGGGTGGTTTGGGGGGGGAATGTCGTGAGTGTAAATGAGGTAGAGGAGAGGGGCCAGGACGGAGCCCTGTGGGACTCCTGCTAGTGGGGTGAATGTTTCGGATAAGGAGTTGCCCACTTTGACTGTAATTTTTCTGTCTGAGAGGTAGGAGTGTATGAGTTTCGAAATTTGGGGGGGGAGACCTATGTTCATAAGTTTTTTGACTAGTCCGGCATGCCAGACTTGGTCAAAGGCTTTTTGAACATCAAGGAGAACGGCTGAGGAGATATGCTGGGAATTTACCGCTGTGACAGCGGTAGTATGGAGGGAAGAGATTGCGTCCTGGGTGGAGTGGTGGGGTCTGAAACCATGTTGGGATTGGGGTATGATGTTTCTCTCTTCACAAAATTCCCAGATTCTTTCCTTGAGCAGAAGCTCGAGGAGTTTACCTAGGACTGATATGAGAGAGATGGGTCTGTATGAATTTAGGGATTTGGGGTCCTTGCCTGGTTTGGGGATCAAAATGGTGTTTGCGGATTTCCAGGCAAGTGGAAAATAGGATAAGGAGAGGCAGGAGTTTAGGATAAGAGTGAGAATAGGAAATATGGTTTCAGGACCTTAGATTTTTTTTTTTACCTTAGATTAAAAAAAACGAAGATATGGTCAAATGCGCCCACTGCCCTTTTCCCCCTCAATTCCCACTACCGAGTTCCACCAATTAAAGTGAATAAGTGAAGTCTTCCCCCGCCTCCACCCGTCCTCGACAACAAGTGGCTGACGGATAATCGGGATAACGTGTGTATCGCCATTTTTGTGCTGTCCTTGAAATTACTAAATATTGTTTACTGTGTTGTTAAGTGAGTTTATTTTGGACAAAAAATGCCAAGGTGTATAATAAGGGACTGTTATTACCTTGCAAGCGCAAATTATTTGAGAGACAAGAAGTCTGTTCACTTATTTTGGTGAATTTTTAATATTTTATTTTGTTATGACAAGTAGCCATGTTTATTTTGAGTGAAACTAGGAGAGGTACGCCAGGTCAGGAGTCAGGACTGTAGATAATAAATTGTAATAACTGAAATTTCTGAAATTATTGTTTAAAATTATCAGTTTAAAAGTTTATTTAAATGTTTTTTGAACGCTGAAATAAACATAATCTATTTTAGTTTCCAAGCAAATAAAGAAAGGCGAGAGACATGGTTATTGGCTTGCAATATTAAGGAAGATGAAATACATAAAGATTCTCGTATTTGTCATTTGGATTTTACTAATAATTCTTTGGACAGGGAAAAATCACCATTTAAAATTGATTTGAAGGGAAATGCTGTACCCACTGAGATAAAAATAACAATTTTTAACATTACATAAAAATTTATCGTTATTAGAGTCTTAAAACGGTATATTTTTTTCCAGAATTTACCAACCTTACAACATAAGGTGGTAAATGTAATGTAGAAATATTACCATATCAAAATTCACCCGTACTTAAAAAACAGGTAAGTTATTTGGCTAAGAATATATAGGTCGGTACCGACCAATTTAAAAAAAAAACAAAATTTATTTTGTTTTATATGTCACTAAGAATCATTTAGATATTTCAAAGATTTAACATTTTTTAACCACTGTATAAATGAATAAAATTGTAATAGTTTACGCAAAAGACTAAAAAAATTAACTTTTAACATATTCAAAAACATACAATAAGTTAAATTTTCTCAAAATATCGACAAATTTTGAATGAATTTTTTTTTTATTTTAGTTTTCTACCTGCTTGCTAAATTTGAAAAACTGAATATTTTAATTTTTTTTGTGCGTTTGAAGGGGGACATCTTTTAATCATATCTTTAACTGGCATACGTGATGGCCCTCTACTCTGTTACTCTAACCAATGCAATTTAAATAAGGAAAGTACTAAAAGTATGACACATCATTGAAAAGATAATTTTAAGGAGAATTGAGTAATATGACTATTCAATGTGTTACTTTTGATTTTAGCACCCTCTGGCAGTATACAAATACTGCTATCTACTATAAAATGTGGAATTTAATTTGAAAACTAATTTTAATAATACTTTAATGCACAATATAACAAAACAATTGAATAAAACAAGAACTTAAATAATTGCAGAGTTCACAAGTTAAGAAATACAAAACTTTATTGCAATCAACCAATATAAAAAATTTACACTACGTACTATATTCCTAATAAAATTAGCTTTCAAATGAAGTGCCACACTTTACAATAGGTAACAGTTTTATCCCGGCAGAAGGCGCTAAAATCAAAAGTAAAGCAATAAATAGTCATATATTACTAAATTCTCCTTAAAATTACGTTTTCAGTGATATGTCATACTTGGCACTTTCCCCATATAAATTGTATTAATTGGAGTAACGGAGTGGAGGGTAATGACGTATGACAGTTAATGATATAATAAAAAGATGCCTTCGTTCAAACTAAAATCGACGTGTCCGAGCGTTTTTTAAGATCCACGATATTAATGCCCAAAACCCCAATGTTAAGTTTTGGTTGGGCCATCCTGTAAATAAATTTTAGATCGAAAATAAATTTTATCAGAATTTATAATTTACAAATAAATAAAATTATGTACTAATGTTCTTTTATTATTCCTATTCAAAAAATCAATCACTGCTGTTATTTATCCTGAGTACGTATCTGTTAAGTACCCCCCACTTACTCGTTCCGACTGAAAATAATTGGCAGCCTCCGCGCAGCTCTTTGTAATATGCATGTTCTATCTTCGGTTTCTTTAATTTAAGACGAATACGTAAGGCGTACGAATAAACCCGAACATGTACCTACTTTCACGTAATAGATGCGTAGAAAAAATGGCTGTTTCGCAAGAATAGCTGTGGATATGTCTACGTATACGTTTCTAGCATTCTTTTAACTCTTTATTACTAATTAAATAATGTACCTTAGGAGAAGTTGTTGTGCTTCGGAGTCCAAAGATTTAATATTGATTCCTGCAGCATCGGTAAAAGCTCCTCCGAAACCATGAATTGTTTGATATTCTTTTTCTCCGACATTTATCAAATTATTTTTAGTGTTTGCCACTGGTTCAAACTCGCCCTCAGTTCTATCGAATCTTAGTCCTGCTTCATTTGAAGTGTACACGATAATTTTGTTTGAATTAAATTTTTTTATTGGTGATATGGTATCACAGTAAGTAGAGTTGCATACACATACTGAGTAGTTTCTTTTAATTACTTTACTTTGGCAAGCTGCAAAAAATACATAATATATTTATTGTTGTTCCAGCAATATTTTTACCTACATATATTGTTAAAATTGCAATTTTACGATCAAAATCAATAATAGAATAGTTATAATATTAAATCTTATTTTAGTTCAATAATACATAATCTTAGTGCAATAAATATAGTGATAAATGCAATATTTAATTTAAGTGCTTGTAGATGCATAAGAACTGATAAAAACGACTTTTTAAAAATTAGTTTTCATTGGTAAATACATTTAGATATTTTTCGCGACCTAAACCAACATGAACTAGTTATTATAAATACATCAGTCGGATAGAAGGAGTTCAAAGAAAACTAATAAAACATTTAAATTACCGGTTTAATAGAAATATATATCTTGAATCATAAGATTTTAGCTTACGACATTACAAAATAAATAAACTTGTTTCAAGAAGAGTTGTTGCTCATCTTATATTTCTTTACAAACTCATAAACAACAAAATTGACTGTGTATACACTAGAAAACTTAAACTTTTACGCGAAAAATCACACATCTCGCTCAACTAATCTTTGTTATTATAACTCAGCGTTAACAAACTATTGTAACAACTCTCCGGTAACAAGACTGCAATACTACTACAATCAATATTTTGGCCATCTTGATCTGGCTTATGTTTCTCTGTACACACTAAGGCACGCTGCTTTTTTGGTTCTCTCGTGACGTACTTCCTATTTATCTTTGTAAAAAACACTCGAAATGGCCGCACCTAGCATCGTGCCTTGTAGTAAAAAAAAAATAAATAAAAAAAATAAAAAAAAAATAAAAATAAATAAGCAAAAAATAAAATGATAAAACTATGTATATTATCAAAATGCTAAAACTATTAAGTTATTAACTCAACCTGCGCTTAAATATTAATATACTGTTGTCACTTTTTTTTTCTTTTTTTTTTAAATTATTGTTAATTTTAGTATTAAGTTATTATGATGTACTGATTATGAAAATATGTAATTCATTTTTCGTGCAACCTTATAATTGGGCATTTATTTGCTTGTTAGGTTGCCAAATTTATAAATAAATAAATAAATGAACGTTTATGATAGATTATGTTATTTATACATATGTCTAAATAACAATTTACCATAAACGTTCATGTTGGTTTATACCGCAAAAAATACCTTATAATCGTAACACCATCATAGAAATATTATAGAAAGGCTGGCTCGGACAGGTCCGGTGCAAGTTTTTTATTGATCGAACAAATAATTCACACGATGTTTCAGGTTAGAAGTTATACATTTTTGGAGATATAAAAAAACGTTGAAAAAAACATTCAAGTGGTTCTGAAAGTCCTTATTAAGAAATATATGACATAAAATATGATTTAGTTAATTTTCGGCAATCATTAGTGCTATAGTCACGATATTTTGCTTGTGACCTGACATCTTATTTGATTATAGTATCATTTGGTACAAGTAAATTTAATCTGGGAGTGCAAAATAGTTGCGTTTCGCCCAGGAATATTATGGTCGTTATTTTTCTTTCATTTTGTCAGCCGAGACTAGTCATTACTTACAATTAGACAAAAAACCTTTTATGTTACTTACCATTTTCAATATAAATTATCCAAAGATATCTGCATCTCTCAAGATTCAAATTTAAAAAATACTACTACATTTACTTGGTATATATTTTATTTTAATTTTGAACCCTTTTAAAAGATTTAAAATTTTTAGTCGATGATAACATTTCACATCAGCACATTGCAAATCTATTTTATAGATAATAAGCCGCAACATCATCCTCATCTTTCATTTTTGTTTTAATTTTACGAATGTTCTGGGTATACGCTTGCGTGCTCGCGAATTTACTGGATCAGTAGCGAACAGCGCCTCGTGCGTCCACCATTCGTGTATACAAAATGCATCGCATGAGGCATTCGGTTCGGCCTCGGCTTGCCTCATACGCGTACGTACTCAGATAAGTACCCGCCTTAAGGGTCTCCATAAGGGTTGGAAATACCTTAAATACTTTTACTTTGAGATGCTAAAATAATCCTTGACAATTATATATTTTTAATTGACATTGAAATTAACATTTCTTATATATATATGGTGATAAAACAAGAATCGACAATATAAACACAATGAGAAAATCAAAATAATTTGCTAGTCCATTTTTAACAGGTGTATTGGTTTGTAAATTTCGCATTTTATCGTTATTGTTGAGACTTGTGGGGACTTATTTTAGCTTGTGGTCATATTAAGGCACTTAATTCTCTATCAGCTTATTTTTTTATTATATAAATTTAATCCAATATTCATAATATCATGATGTAGAATGCGTATTAAAAACAGATCACTTTAAATTTTGTGGCTCTTGTTTAGAAGTCCAGCCACCTAAGTTGCAAAAATCTATGATGCATTTTTATCTCACACCATTAATTGAAAATGTGTGGAAGTTTACTTACTTGCAACAATTGAAGGGTACAGGGAAAAAACCAGATATATCACTTTTTATTGAATAATTAGGTAGTGGCACCATTAAATTCCCCTACTCAAAACACTTTTTTCCCAACACTCAAACCGGGAAAAAACCAGCGTAGTTTTGTGTAACATATTAAAAATATTGCGTGCAGGATAAAAACCAGCTTGGTCCAAGCGTGCAGGAAAAAAACAAGCGATGTCGTGTAAACAAACCATCTGATGCAATATTGTGTAAAAAGTTCCAGTGCAAAATTCTTATTTAGCTGGGCTGCTACTCTCCATGATGCTAGTTATTTGTATCGAGTTCGAGTTCTCGATCGTAATATTCCGGTATGTGCCAAAGCGTTTTGTCCTACGCATATGACAACAAAAAATAAACTAATTTATATAAAGGAAAACCTTAAACGAACTGGTGCAGCTCCTAAAGATAGGCGTGTGACCACATCAAAAGTTTTAGGGGCGCCAAAGCCACTATAGTCTAAAAGATACAAAAAAAACGTATTTGCCCGAAGAGCTTACAATAAAAAAAATGTTTAACCTCTTTAAGGAAACGAATCCAAATGCTAAGGTCTCTTACGAAACTTGTAGAACATTTTTTAATAAAGAATTTAATATTTTGTTTGGATACCCCCGGACTGACACATGTACAACGTTTGACGAATTTTAAATTAAGGTTAAAAGCTTTTCTGCTGAAAAGGATACAGGTGAGATTAGAAAATTAACAGAATGATTTTCATAAGAGAAAGGCTAAAGCGTTTTATTAAAAAAAATATGGAAGCCAAAAGAATTGCAAAAAAGTAACAAAAAGGAAGCCATCTGCATTGACTTTGCAAAAAATATTTCAATATCAAAAATTGTCACCAACGACGTGTACTATAAACGGCAATTGTCTATTTATGCCTATAACAAACATGTCCTCTCTTCTGATTAGTCGATATTTGATATCTATCAAGAAGGAATCGCCAAAAAATGATCCAATGAAGTTGTTTCTTTTCTTTTTCATTTTCTTAATACTTGCTTAGAAGACAATATTGAGGAACTGCAAATCTTCTGCAACTCTGTCGGAGGACAAAATTATTTTTTTACCATTTTCCGTTTTATACATTTTATTGTAAATAACAGAATTCATGACTTGAAAGAATTAAAAATCGCATTCCCTGTTAGAGGAGACTTGGAGTGTGACAAAAATGTAGGATTGTGCGATTTGAAAAGTCCTTTTGAGACCCCAGAAGAGTTTGAGGAAGTTATTACAAATATTCGCTGCAAATCATCGCCTTTTATCTTAAACTGTGATTCTACTATTAAATATACTTATTATTACTTATATAATGTAGAATATATTTAAGTAGGACTGTGGGCCATGTAATCTCCCCCACCTCGACCCTCGACCTTTTCAGATCTATTGTGGATATCCTTTAATCATTGTTTAGAGAACCTTGTCAAATTCGGTCTTTTGTAGACTGGAAATTAGTTCTCCGGTATAGCCAGTTTTTAAAAAGTTTGCGAAAAGTTGGAGTTTTGTTTTTTGATATGAGTTTGTGTTTTGTTTTTGTTTTGTCCGTTTAGTGGAAAAGCGCCATTAGATTGGAAATCTTATTTACAAAATTTACAAAAATGCCCATTTTAAACTCAGTCCGTGAAGGAAATAGTAGGTGGCAACATCTGACCATAGCCGTCTCATTAACCACCGTGTTGAACATATAATGGGCCACTAATAACCGGAATAATAAGAAAACGCTTTGACACAAACACAGGTGTAAGATGTGAAGAATTTGTACTGCCTGCTCCAGCATACGATGGTAAGTTATATGTAAGGTTTAACCTAAAAAATGAAATTTAATAACTTTTTTTACAGGTCTTTTAACAATTCCAAAGGCCAAGTTTGAAGACCTTATGAGCCTTATGCGGTTTTCCTGTCCAAGAGCCGTTAAATTTTTTAACAACCTGGCTTATTTCTAACTAGTAAGTTTAAATTATTTATTGGTTGATTGTTGATGTATAACTTTCAAACGTCAACAAATAATAAATAGTTACTACACTAATCAAACTTTCTTTCCTGGTATAAAAATAAAATATGATGACTGTTTTTTTTTTCGTATGACATGGCTGCTTTCTTCCCAGCAAAACACTGACTACTATGCTACTTTGTGCAATGAATTCACCACCAGTTTTTTAAAGGAAAAAAATGTAATTATATCACTTTGTAATAATATAAATTTAGTTTTGTGTAAGCAACATGTTTATATAATATTTTTAAATATAAAAATATTTAGTTTTGAACATGAAAATTGTATTTGTTCGTTATGTAAGTAAAATGACCTGTCTGTTTCTTCTCTCTACCCTTCAATTATGACTGGACTTGCCACAACATTTTGCTTAGCACTTCTGGTCCATCATATTACAAAAATGTTCATTCCTTTCGTACCACATTGTACTTAAAAATATATCTATCTCTGTTTTTATAATATTACTATT